CCCCCCCCTCTTATTCTCTCCCTCTCTCCCCCTCCTCCCCCCTCCTCTCTTCCTCTCCCATCACACTGACATTATATCTACTGTTCATCATGACCCTCTGATCCCCCTCTGAGACCATTCCCTGACTCCAGGGTCAGTAATAAACAGATTAGTGACAGTTCAGTAACAGAGGCTTCATCAACGATCAATAACTGCCACAACTATTTCCCCTGTTATTTATCGCATTTTTCAGATTAAGTCCCACTATAATGGAGCTACAACAGTGGAAACGGTAACACAACCAGGTAGAACTTCACCACCTGACACACTAAAGGAAGAATCTGGTGTTGTTACTGTCCAGTTCTAACTCTGCAGATACACTTATAGAAGATCTTACTCTGGAACAAACAGGAACTCTTGGTTGGTTGTTCAGGTCCAGTTCCAGCCTTTGGTGATGTGCTGTCGTCACCTCCTTCTCTGTCTACGTTCACAGAGAATTTAAACATACATGACATTTCCCAAGCTATTTTTCTGCTAATAAAAACTAAACACGTTGGAGGAAGCTGGGTTCATCTCAGTGCCTTCTTGGGTTTCATTCTGTAATTAATTCAGGTTTGAGCATTAACAAACCTAAATTACAACATCACTGATTATGTCTGTTTTTTTAGTATCTGTCATTTTTTACGTCAACTTTCAATAACTCCATGTTGAACCGTCTGTTCCACCAAATGACTGCTGATAAAAATTTACCGACCAACAGTGGGAACTTTATTTGAATATATTGTACGCATAATAGACAACATTTGGTCAAAAAGTACACCTTTGACATCCACCATGAATGAAGGGAAACGTGTGTGTGTGGGGAGGAGGGGGTGTGGTGCCTTATGGAGCTATAGGGGACAGGAAATAGGTTATTGTTGTGGGGACACTGTCCATGTGGGGACATGTTTCAGTTTGAGTGAGAGGGTATTTCAAAACTTAAAACATTTTTTTATTTTTATATCTGAGTTTACAGTTAGAATTAGAATAAGGGTTAGGCTTATGATTAGTTGTATATTTATCAAAAAGAAGTTTAGGAGTGGATTAGGAATGTCTATAGGATGGTCTCACAAGTTTGTGTGTGTGTGTGTGCGTGTGTGCGTGTATGTACACAGGCCTGTTTACAGTTCTTTAAGTCTTTCATCTAAGTCAGGACAACTGAAATAAATCTAATGTCAAACAGCTACATTTACTCCATATAAACACCCAGGTCTGGTTCCAGTTATTCTGATGCCTTACAGCAGAGATGGAATCCCGATATGTTCCATAACTGATGCACACAGTCAAGCACGGGTTCAAATGCATACATTGATAAATATAACTGTATATTTTTGTACTAGAGTTTTTTCTTTGACTAGATTTGTTCTAGAAAGACTGTAGCAATGCTGTTTTTGACTTGACCTGATTGACCTGCGGCAGAGACGGACTCTGTGTTTCTACAGTCGATCTCTGATGCATGACGACAACATTCATATAAGGCCCAGCAGCACCTTAAAAATATATTTGATTAAAAAAAAGTATTTTTTTATTTTTGGTATGATTGTACGCATTCATTATTTTTTGGCATAAAATATATTGAAATATGAGTCACTCTGAGCCAAAGCACACATGTTATTGAATCAACACAGGCATTAACATGACTACAGAGATTCACTGAAATCTGAATCACAAAAGGCAAAAAAAATAAAAAAATAAACAGAGACGTATTTCTGTTTCTGGGGTTTGTATTTGAAACAGTGTGTGCCTTTTAAAAACATGTTTAAAATTGTGTTAACTTTAAAAGTTTTTAACGACTGGAGTTTAATGCGTAGAAACGGACAAGTCATTTGAAGTCATTTGCCTCTGTCTGTGTACTCAGTCTGAATGTGAAGTTTCCTCCGTGTTTATCATTCGTACATGTTAAAATGACTGAATATAAAAATTCTATCTACTGCTGCTATAGAAGGTCACCCGTTAAGACAACAGACAGCCCCCTTGTGGCAGACCTTAGACATGGCCAACTGGCCAGCTCTACATCAAACCAACACTCTGGGCTACATACTGTGAGCTCAGTGCCACAGCTGAGCACTTATAGCGCCATCTTTCCATATAGACTGTATTTATGGACTACAGGACCATTTGTGTCCAAGGTCAGGGGGCCCATACGTATACCCCTATTGGAAATGACTAAAGAAAAGTGTGATAAAGTCCTACAACAAATTTCTTTGTTTCTGTTAAACAACAGTCCTCAAACTTTATTATTATTATTATTATTATTATTATTATTATTATTATTATTATGAGCGGACACTATATTAAATATAGTAAAATTACTATATAAATATATATAATTATAAAAGAAATATAAATTGGACAAAAGTTCATGTTTCAGTCTGGGGTGTAATTTAAATCTTATTTTAATGTATGTATTAAAATGTCTCCTGTCTTTTGTTTCTTCCATTGATTTGTGAATATATATTTAAGTTAAAAATGTCTCCTGTCTTTCCATTGATTTGTGAATATATATTTAACCGTTTTTCTCCATTTATAAACTAAAAAATAAAGTAATTTAAAAATTCCTACCTTCCGTGGTCCATTAGCAAATAAGTCACTTTCCACTCTTGACACTTCACTCATGTCTCTGCGCCGCCGTGTGTTTACTCCTTTGGTAAGAAATCAAGAGCAACAGGAGTTTAGTGGCTCTGACCATCTGATGCACACAGTGTAAAAAGCCCACACTCGTTGATCGAATCCATATGTCCTGTCGTTGGCACCAAGTCTACACACACAGCTCCCACATACAGGTACCGGTGGGGGGAGGGGGGGAGCAGAAGTTAGACGTTAGAGCTGAACTTCATAACCTCTGTGCTGCGGACCGCCTGCACAACTGAGCTCAGGCAGTGAGTGTGAGTGAGTGTCCGTGCGGCCCTAGTGTCCTCAAACACTGTAACACTGTAACACTGTAACATGAGCTCCATCAACAGCCACCAGTCACGAGACAAAGTCTTGGATCAAAATCAAGGAACACTGACAAAGCACCATAACGGGACTCACCATATTCACACTGACCTAAACTGTTGTTACGTGGATACGGGTATTTGAAGTTATTTTTTAAAATTTAAGACACATTTTTATGATTTTCTATATTGTGGTCCTGACGGCTGAAACATTAGCACAGTGAGGGGCGGGCACCCAACAGCCATTATTTGTGACACAAATAATAATTATATATATATATATATATATATAAGTTTTTTATCTGTTGATTTGTAATTTAGTCAATGTTTTGTATGAATTTCAGTGTTGGATCACCAGTGGATCAGTAGGTATGGGTGAAACAGAGAGAAGACCTTGAAGGTCTTTACATTATACCCAGGACATTTTAAATCACTGACCCCAGTTATATTATTTATGATGAATGCATGAAGATTAGCATACCTGTGTCCAATTCCTAATTTATTTTGTGAAACTGATACATTTTGCTGATTTCTGGAAAACAGTGATGTTTGATAAACACTTTTTTCAGCTTTTGTCCAGTTAGCTTCACATTTGATCGTTAAGTAACGCTACGAATAACTCCAATAGCTTTTTTTTTATTGTGGAGCCTCGGCTTCTACTTGGACATGGAAACATATGAACGATTATTTGATGGGACTGTTTGAGAAGCAGAACAACTGCTTTCATTTACAGAGCATTTATTTTCTGTAGAGTTTCCATGGGACATGTACAGACCAACTGCAGACTGTAGTTTCTTTGCTAACTGTATACTGTACAGAACACTGTAAAAACAAATATGCTAGCCTTTTATGTTTTTTTTAAAGTATTATATTGTGTTTTCTTCTATATCTTAGTTTTTATACCATTGCTTTAAAAGTGTGCTATTATCGGCATCTTGAATCCATTCTTTCCAATACGGTTTGAAAGTTGTGCACGGAGACAGATAAGTAGAAGTGGGACTTTACACTGTCGGGCTCTGCCCAATCAGAAGACTCTGAAAGGTCCTTGTGTTTTCTGTAGTGTTGAAGTGTTCTCTGAAAAGTCCTTCTGTTTTGACAGTCGGGGCCACCGTAGAAAAGTGAGCAATCACTGCCCTCAAGTGGTCAATAAATAATTTCATTTTTATGTCTGCATGTACATTATGTTAGAGATAAATACTGTAGAATATGAACCCCTCACAGAGGTTTTGGTCTTCAGTTCATAGTGTATGAGAGGAATCGCTATGAAATTACCAATAATTATACATTTTATTATGTTCTTTTTTTCCCACAGAGATGAACATCTTGTGCAACTATCCCAGGTTGCCAGTAGATGGCGGAAAAAGAACAGTTTTGAGGAACAGTCCGTGGTTTCAGGAGGTAGGTTAAGTCTGTTACTTTTGGTCTTTTGTGGCAATTAAAGTCATTGGTGTATTTGAAAGCAAATTTTAAAATGTTGTCTATTGACTGCACAAATCAACGTAAGGTGATGCAGTGCAGCGTCCTTACACTGTTTCACTGCAGTAATTCGGCATGTGTGTTATTCTTTAAAAAGAAAAAAAAAACAACATTTTTGACTATTTCATTTTATAACCTTTATTTTTTTTTGGAAATAGAGTAAATGTGTAATTTTTTTTCAATGACAGGTGTGAAGTGAAGGAGGCTATAATGAGTGAAATATTAAAAAAAAAAAAAAACCCAACAGTAACATTTTTCCATCAGCTGTCATTTGTTTAGCAGCAAACATGAACATATGAAAGAGACTTGACTGGAAAATCCAAGCCCAGCTGAGGAAGCTGAACGGTCTCTCACCCTCTTTACTAGGAAAATGGATTTCCTTTCTTTCTGCTCAGTTTGCACAATTGTCTTCAGCTCGGCCCGTGTTAAACTAAGCAGGCCTTCTTTCCCCTGAAGCTGAATTATGCAGAGCTGAGCTAAATCCATTTTACCACACATACATGCACCTGCACACGCTTGCATGCTCAAACGCATGTTTGCAAACAGGTTATAGGCTGCCAAAGACAAAGACAAAGACACCAAATACACATGACTTCATACAGTGTGTATACACACACGCTATGACGAGGCTCTCAATTTAAGAGAATTTTCACTTTTCAGAAACGTTCAGCTCATAAAGGATCAGTAGATTTTCAAAATAAAACGTTTTTTATAATTTGCTCTCTTAGTATTGGAAAAAGAAAAATCTGTTTTTATTTTTGAGATAAAAATATATTAATAGAATCATCTCTTAGCTGGTCCATTTCTCTGTAGAACTATTTTTTAATTATATTACACGATAAAATATGACCTGTTTTCGCTTTGATTGACCAATATACATGGAAAAAGAAAAATCTGTTTTTATTTTGAAAAATTGCAGTATTATCTCGGAACAAAGAAATTGAATGGAATTTAAAAGAATCATTAATTAGTCTAATTAAAATGAATAATTATTAATTCTTTCACTAAGGCCTGGTACTAAATGACCCAGAGACCAGTACTGGTCTGCGGACCAGTGGTTGGGGATCGCTACACTATACCCGTTTATATTGTAAGAAGACTGATGTTGTATGTACTGTATACATCAACTTACAGATTTGTGAGGATGTCACAGCCACAGGTGTATGAGTGATGTCAGAGTGATGTCAGAGTGATGTCAGAGTGATGTCAGAGTGATGTCAGAGTGATGTCAGAGTGGTCAGAGTTGATGTCAGAGTGATGTCAGAGTGATGTCAGAGTGATTGGCTCATGACCATGTGAGGCTGCAGCTTGATGTCTGTCATGTTCGTTGGTCTTTGTCTGTCAGCAGTGGTTCAGATGTCGGTGAACTGAAGACAGGAACCATGTGAATGAAACAGTTACAGTAGTTGAATAAAGGAGTTAGATCAGACATGGGGAAACTATGGCCCAGGGGCCGGATACGGCTCGTTTGGTTCCTTAATCTGCCCCATCATACTTGTCTTAATTATCTTATTGATTTCTATCCTTATACTTGCCCACGCCTGAGTTAGATCATTACCAATGGATTGATCTGATCATACAGACCCTAGAAAATGATCCTGGAGGAGATAGAGAGAAATAACAGCAGGTGGATGTTTGTGTTTTGACTAATCCAAATGATTCATTAATATAGACAAATGTCAAGAAAAAATGCAAATGTAAAACTGAAAGGTTAGCTTCATTCAACTCGACGCTGGCTGGTAGATCCTGGCCGTAGTTGATTCCAGAACTTCAGTGAAGCCCTTGTCCTAATCAGTATTAATCAGTCCACAGTCTCTCACAGTCTATTTGACAATCAGTCAGCTTGTCAGTCGTAGACTTATTTACTGCCCTGTGCTCAGTGAGGCTGCTCTGACACAAGCTGAGTCTCTGACCTGAACTTGAAGTCTCTGCAAACACACGCTGTGCGTCGAGACGGTATTTTGAGCCTGAGATTGAGACACTGCGGTCTGTGTGAATAGTAACATATGTATTGACTGTGAATTACAGTAAATGTAAGTGAATGGATGGTGGAATTATTATTATGATATACAGGACTATTTAAGTAGTCAATCTGCCTATGTTTGAAATTGACATACAAATTTAAATTTGTGATCTGAGTTTTTTTTCTAATTTATCACAATTCACAGCTTCATCCCGACTGTCACAGTAATGTTTGTGATATTTATTTACTTATAAATGGCGGTAATTTTACCTAGACACAAACACAAGCCATGGACATAGAAGAATATTATATAGAATATTATGAATATTACCATATGTGATTGTAAATACTTTTTAGGTCTTTAGTAAGATAAACATTCATCTTAAAAAACATTGACAAACTATTATATTTGTTCAGATTTTTTAAACCTACAGAGTCAGATGTTCAGCCCCTGCTCGTCTGTTTACCCTAATACTGTGTTCTCTCTGTCACCTGTAGCTCCACCGATGCTTCGCTAACTCGATAAAATGCATTTCCTCGCACACCACATTTGCAGATGTGAGTGGCAACGGCCTGTTTGGATGATCTCAGTGGCTAAGTGGACCTCAAATACGATGGAGTCTGCTTCACTAAAAGGTAACATACATATTTACCTCTGTGGGACTTGACAGGTGAACGCTGATTTGATGGATCCTAATGAAGCACAGCGTCATCAATGGCACTTAAATGTCCTCAGCAGTTCTCTGAACTAAATGGAAGGTCACAGGATCTCAAGTGGCTGCGTCATTTAAAATTCACTCAGACAAATAACATCCCTCTCAAACACTGCACTAAAGAGGCCGGAAATGTTTCTAATGAGAGTTCAATAGAAACGTATGCAAAAATGGATCTAGCTGGAAATAGGTTGCATAATGAAAAGTGTGCTTTGATTCAAAATAAACTATATGTCACTGATATCTGTGGCTGTGGTGCCTGAAAGTGCTCCATTAGCTTTAGTGGAAAACACTGTGGCCTTGTGAATATTTAAGTCTGGACTCTATACTGGGAACTGAGCAGGTACATATACACAAATGATGTGTGTACGTTAGAACTGTTTTTATTGGTAAGGCTACAATTTTGAGAGATTTGATTCAGGCTAATATAATGTTTTATTTATGTAAATAAAAAAATAAACACTGGCTTTAAGTATTTTTCTGCCTGGTGTCCTCACTCTGCTTTGGGTTAAGCTCTCTCACTCTCTCTCTCTCTCACACACGTGCGCACAAATAGATAAGCAGAAAATTCAGTTTTTTTATTATCATTTTTTATTATTTTTCCGCAACTGTACGACAGGTGGGGGGGGGGACGGGGGACGGAGTACTTTTCATGAAAAAAATGACATGACATTGAGCCTTGTGATTGGCTGTTTCTAAATTACGAGAATAGATAAAATACGAGTTAAAAGTTGCGATCCATCAAATCAATCGATCAATAACAGTTGACCGTTAACACAGAAGACAAGAAGTTCTGCCCAAGTGATGTGTCAAGAGAACTCGGTCAAAGACTCTGTCACAGAACTGTTAGTTCTTAGTACGTGTGTCACTGAGCCAGTCCATCCTTGCCTCTCGTCACGACCCCGCAGTTGGTTGGCTGAGGCAGGCTGAGTGTGGATTGGGTTAGGAGGTGGGGGGAGATGGGGTGGGGGTGTGGGGGGGACTGTGTCAGTCAACAGTGTGGGACAGAAACACTGTCACTGCGGTCATTCTTCTCCTCAACTTGTTCCTATAAAGAGCAGAGCAGTGGCGAACCGAGACTTTTCCTCAGCAGCAGGTGTTCACCTCACACACACACTAACACACGGACACTCTCTGTCTCTCTTTCTCTCTCTCTCTCTCTCACACACACACACACGCACACACACGTGTAGTAATGCGCGTCATGGAGCGCACTTTCCGAGAGCAGCTGCTGCTGCTGCTGCTGTGCGTGTCGGTCCTCAGGGGAGACTGCAGGTACATTGAGGTAAGTGTCGGGTCAGTGGGAGGCTGCACTTCCACACCTTATTGTTCCACATTAAAGTCACGGCTCTCTGTCTTTTCTCCCTGTGCAGAACAACGACGTCTCCAGAGATGACTTTTATTCCATTTTTAATTCGGAACTCAAGAGAGAAATACCTGCGGACTTCCTGTATCGCAGACCTTTACGTAAGTACTCAAAGTAATCACAGTAATAACAGCAGCTCGTGTTCGACCATGATAATAATCACAGTGAGATGAAAAAAATATTAATAGTATCATCTCTTAGCTGCTCCATTTCTCTGTAGAACTATTTTTTAATTATATTACACGATAAAATATGACCTGTTTTCGCTTTGATTGACCAATATACATGTAAATATACATACCACATGTATATGTGTTTACTCACTAATCTGGTACAGCTTGAAGAAGTTTTATATTCAATATTTCCAAATCCTTCTATCAATTCATTTATTCATTTTTTTACAATCACAGATGATTATGTTCCATCACAGACATATATGCTGTTATTCACAGTACAGTTCACGCAACAATGTTCTATCTCTATTTTCAAACCGAAAATATTAAGAAGAATACAATTAACATTAAAACCATATATATAAATATATATATAAACATGTATATAAATATATATGTAATTTTAAGAAATTATTTAAAAAAAATTAAATGTTGAGTCTATATTTATTGCAATATACAATCAATTTTAGTAGTAGAATTGTATGAAGTAAATATACTGCTATATACTGTGTACACATGCATACATACACACACAAACACTATGTGTATATATACATATATTCAATAGAAGTAATAAGATTGTGCAAAGTGAGATGTATATATTGTATATACATATATACAAACACACATCATGTTTTTGACCATATATATATCTATCACATACATGATTATATGATCACATTTGACAGCTTCAATATATAAATACAGTATATCACTGTATATACCTTGGCTGCCAAATGTTCTCATATAATTACATATGTCTAATATACCAACACCCATACATATGTATGTATGTATGTTTGTGTGTAAATGTGACATGCACCATGGTTTGCTGACATCGTACATGTGTTTGAACGCGTGCCTCAGGTTGTCTGGACATGATTGCAGTGGACGGTCAGTTCACCTTCACCACGGAGCGTCCTCAGCTCAGCTGTGCTGCCTTCCTGTCAGCAGAGCCCACTGAAGTGATCAGTGTACATTTGGAGGACGTGGACATCGACTGCAGGGGCGGTGACTTCATCACGGTAAAAAAACCAACAGAATGCCCTTTTAGCACGATGGTAAAATAAACAGATACTAAATGTTGATTAAATAAAGGTACAAATAAACTCACTCTCTGCCCTCCACCACTATTTTTCAATCCGATGTGTCATAACCTATTATGATGGACCAAACATCCTTACCCTGTGTCTACACTTGTCCCGTCGAGGTGTTTGATGGCTGGGTGCTGAAAGGGGAGAAGTTCCCCAGCCTCCAGGACCATCCACTGCCAGTGCATGAGCGTTACGTGGATTACTGCGACTCAGGAGCAACGAAACGAAGCGTGCGCTCATCTCAGAATGTGGCCATGGTCTTCTTCCGCATTTACAATCCTGGCAGCAGCTTCACGTTGACGGTCCAGAGGCAGATAAACCCATTCCGTAAGTAGATTGAGGATTGGGAAGAAAAAAAATTAAAGTAACAGTTACTTTATCTTTGTAGCACTTTTGAAGTGGTGTAGTATGATCTAATTTGGTCAAAACAACTCAACAGTGTTGTTCAACATGACACAAGGTTCAACATGACCTTAGATATTGGTTGACGTCCATTCCTAAAATAATTGTGACGACAGAGCCGATTCTTTCAGAGTTTGAAGTATAGGTCTGATCTGATTGTCAATCATCTGTTGACACTCTGCTTCTTATGTCTGTATTTGTCTTTGTCCAGCCTGCAATGTCATTTCCCAGTCACCAGAGGGCAGTTACACTATGGTGGTGCCGCAGCAGCAGAGGAACTGCAGCTTCTCCATCATATACCCGGTGGAGGTCGACATCTCCGAGTTCAGCATGGGTCACAACAACCACTTCCATAAGGTGAGTAAACTCTCTGGGTGCAATTTCTCTTTAAAACATGTTTCTCAACCAGGGGTCCGTAGTCCATTATGGGTACATAACAGCATGACGGTGGGTACATGTGATATTTTTTTATATCTCCAAGTTTAAATGCTGAACCAAAAAAGTAAAAGAGAAAATCACCACAGAGAGATTTTTGATTGAAGATGTGTTGTTCCAGTGATTATCAATTCAAAATTATTTTTATTGATTGTACATATTTTTTATTTTTATATGGCTTTTTGTCTTCACTTGGAGTTTGAACTAAAAACCACCAAATGATTTTTATGCTTCTCCTTGATCTGCATAAATAAAACAGATTGAGACTCCAAAATGATGATAACAGTCTTCTAATGTGTCCATGTTTGCAGAGGTTTGTGCCAGGATGTGCAGAAACAGGGGATTTTGTGCAGTTGCTGGGAGGAAGCAGCATGGACACGTCCAAGCTGCTGCCCATCACTGACTTCTGCACTTCCTTCACTGGAGCCAGTGAGTCAACAACACACACACACTCATTCACTTTTCTTCCTCACTCTGCATAACAGTTGTTGGTTAAATCCCCTCTGTCTGTCCGTGTCTGTCCGTGTCTGTCCGTGTCTGTCCCTGCCCCCCCGCAGCTCTCATTAAAATGGGTTGTGACAACACGGTGGTGAGGATGGTGTCCAGTGGGAGGTTTGTCAACCGTGTGTCTTTCAGCTACCGACTACTGGACAGTCAGGAGCTACAGATCATCAAACAGAACAATGTGGAGGATTTCTGCTTCAACACCTGATCCCAGCAGGACGACCATGTGACGTGTAACAAAAGGTGCAGGTGGAATTTTTTTAAACTAAATTCAGCAGTCACACATGTTTCTCTGAACTACTCCCGTAACTGAAGTCCAAAGATGATGAAGTGTTTGGAAAACTGAAGAAAAAAAAAAAAAAAAAATCTGTAACAGTCAAACTCGATTGTTCATTATCTTTATCTGTATTTTTTTCAAACAAATACTTCAATTCCATTTCTTTCAGTTGAAGTGTTATTTATATTTTGAGTAATATTTGGTCTTTGTAAATTTATATTTACATTTTATTCTGGTTCTGAAAATAAAAAGTGCAAATATAAATTTTCCATATTGATTAGTTGTTTGATGGAAACATTATTAGTTACTATTATTATTATTTTATTATCATTATTATTATTAGAGTAATTAAAACATGTTTTTATTATTTAATGCTGATTAAGTTCAATTTGTATAAAGCTTTTTGTAATAAAATATACTGCATGACAAAGCATTCAACTGTAGCTGTGCTTTTGTCCAACCATCCATCCATCCAACCATCCATCCATCCAACCATCCATCCATTCATTGGGTAAAGTTAAGAGCTTCAAAACATTCAGTACCGTGAATGTGGATTGATCATTTCTTGTGAAAAAATACACATAAAAGCAGAAAACAAAATAGCAGGAAGGAAAAAGGGGAATCAGGAAAATGAAAAAAGAGGAAGTAGTTGTAGTGGAGGAAGAAGAAGGCCAACCTGCAAAGAAAAGAACATTGGATAAAGAACAGATGAAAGTAGCACGCCATCAAACTTGTTTCATTTTTATTAGTCGTTACTGAAACTTTATAAAACTGTAGTTGTAGAAGTTAAAGTCTGATCAAAACTGTTTTAGACGATATATTCTAAATTAGATTTAATCAAATGAAATGCATTGTGATTTCATATTCTCTCTGGGTAGAGGAACAACATTAAATTATTTTTTTTATTACTTTAGTTAAATAGTGCATCCTGATTAGTTTTGTTTAGTTTCCTTCTTAGAAATGAAGGTTATTCACTACATCTTTGATGTTTTTGATGATGAAGTCCAGGAAATTTCCACTGACTCTAAATGCTGCTCCATCAATTTTTCTCGAAGTAAAATTTTATTCTCCAATATGTAGTGGTTTAAATAATGTTAGTACAGTATATCTTGAAATACGAGTGTCCCAACATACAAGTATTCCGAGATACGAGCCATACACTATATATTTTTGTGTGTATGTCTCTAGAGCAATTCAAACATGTTTTTTAGAGTTTTTTAGAGGGCTGGAATGGATTAATTTTATTTTCTGTTTTTTCTTATAGGAAAAAATTATTTGAGATACGAGCACCTTGAGTTACGAGCTCGGTCCTGGAACGGATTATGCTCGTATCTTGAGGTATTACTCTACCATGTTTTACTCATATTACTCATTGCGACAACATTAGCATCATTAGTCACATGACCTAGCTGTCCAATCAACACATAGTCTCTTTGAGACCAAAGAGAAACGAATCTGAACGTCACAAATGACTCAGCAAATTGAACACCCTTAAAATATTAACGCAGACGTAAAAAATTTAACTGAAAAAAATTCAATAAATATGAACTTCAAATGGTTACATTTAAACCTAACAATGAGAAATAGTGAAATCAAATGTCACCTCCTCTGTAGGGTTTTCCATCCACCGTGTGAATGGTGGAGGGTGTTGGAGGAATAAAGGTCTTTTCAGCACTTCATCATTGGATGGCAATGATGTCACTACTGTAAGAGATAAACTCTGTGGGCTGTGTGTCACCACTGAGACCACAGCAGTGATAGTGGTAAAAATGATGGCTGGAGTGGTTCAAACCAATGAGGCGAGTAGTGATTAAAGGCCTGCAGGTGCGTTATCATGGACGGACAGCTGCAGCGAGAAGAAGGAACAGGAGCAAGAGCATCGCACTGTGTGTGTGTGTCTGTGTGTGTGTGCAATGGGTAACATGGTAACATAACTTAAATGTCATGTGTGAAGTGTACTCTGGCCTGACGGCTGCTGGGATTCGATCCCGCTCTCCCTCCTCTTCCATCCTCCCCTACAACCAAGAAGAGTAAGAATGAACCAAAACCGATGTCAGTACTGGTAAGTTTTCCCAATTCCCTATTGAAATACTCATGCAGTACTTGTACTCAAAATCATATACTGATACTGAAACCTGACACTCCTTCATACACTCAGCCATGTGTCTGTGTTTTCTCATTGCAGTTCAGTGTCTCACTGCTCTGGTGACGACGTGAAGAAAAGTTGAATTACCTGACAACTGTCCCTCGTCATGTGTTTATTATTACATGGAAATACAGTAGTACTACACAGTTGACTACACATGCATATTTTTATATACAGGTATATATTTTTTGAAACACTCACTCACTCACAACACACTTTAGCCATTAATAACAAAAACAGGCCAATACCACTGTTAACTTTTAGCCACTAATAACAAAAACAGGCCAATACCACTGCTCACCCAATGATGTTGACCAGGTGTGATCTACATATGAATCAAAATTCAATCATAGCCAAAGAACATATGTGAACGACAGGGTTATAACATACAGGAAAAAAAATCTTGTTACTTTTGTCAGTGGAAGTATTTGCAGTTTAAAAGTTCTCTAAGACATAAATGAAATGTGCTTTTAACTGCTGCAGCTTTACTTTCCCCAAGTTCACAGCCAGTCCATCCAACAGTCAAACGTCACATTGATTGTTCTATTGTGATGCAGAGGCTGAGAGCTTGATTGTAATAATGACTATTGGATTCCCTTATTACTCAGAAGATCGAAAAAATCAAGTCTGACATTTACGTAAACCCTTACTCAGAAAAAACTCCTCCCAAAAACGATCAATGACACGTCATTGACTGAGTCAGTCCTGAGAGCAACGTACAGAGGAGTTCAATAATGTGACAGCAGAGTGTATCTCTCATTCACATCACAGCTTCACCTTATTATTTTTCAAGTAATATCATCAAGACATACTTGAACAAAACTAAAGATTAGTATTTGACGAAGGTATTGAGCGTCCAGTACCCATGATTTATTCCTTATTCAACTCAAATGAACACATTTGTCTCTATGGATTTTCACAGTTTAAAAATGAGAAAAAAATATATTAAAATATTAATATTAAAATAAAAATAAATTATCCTAAAAAAATTCAACTGGAACAATATATAATTGTCATTATAACAATACTGAGTTTATATGAAGTATTTTACTAGCCTTGAGCTGGAAGTAAAAATGTAGAAAATTGATAATAAGAAGTTTGACTTTCAAAATTTAGTAACTGTAAACCTTCTGTAGGAGACATAACGTTGATTTGTTAGCTTCATGTTGGACATAATAAAGACCTGATTAGTCCTCATTCAGATACTCACAGCCAGAGCTCATATTACTGCAGTACAGGAGAACAGTCTGACCACAGATGCTCGACAGTAAAGTTTATTGTCCACAAACTCACAGACAGATGTTGCTGCTGTTGTTCTTTTGTGAAAAAGCCTAATTATTTTTAACTACTGTCAATGTTGTCATTATTGTGGCTATAATTAGGCAGAAAGCTGATGAACAGCTGTGTGTCCATATAAAAATGAATTCATCAAACAAACCAACCAGCAGATGGACACGACTGGAAATACACAGCAATGTCTGATAATGAACAAAAACTCATTGTAAAAATATTCGTGGTGGACTACCATATACTGCAAACCATTCTTGACACGTTTTACAAGCCACCGTTAAGATGAACAGTAATGAGAAAAATGTATTATTTCTTTAAGTCTTTTCATATTTTTATTGGAAATTTTCCATATTGATAATTCCATCATTTGGATTAGTCGCTGATAGAAACAGAGGTGAAACACAAACATCTTCCTGCTGTTATTTGTCTTTCTGTTTCTGACATATACAGAGTTTTTTTTTTGTCATATTGTGGTATGAATATGGAAATAGTCATGATTAATCACGATTAATCAAATAGAAAATGTCAAATACAATGTTATATGGAACAAAAAGTAATGTTATTACATCACAAGAAGGACTTTTTCATGCTGAGGTTAGTAACGCTAACACTCGTACCTGAACAATTAACTTCATGTTTTTGGACAGTGATGGAAACCGCAGTACCTGGGGGAACCTATTCACACACACAGGAAGAAGATGGAAACTCCATACAGAATGAGCATTCATCTCCACCATAGAGCCAACCAGTGATCTTCTTCCTGTAAGGTAAGAGCACTAACCACTCTTCCACTGTATAGCCTTAACCCCAACCTTTTCTACTGAACTGATCATTTTTCTCCAATTACTAGTTGTAACTTGTAAAAAGGAATCACACATATGAGAACGTTATGATTCCCTGGAGACAGAGGCAATCTCACTATTGATTTTTTCACAGTGAAGACCGATCAGGACGGATATAATACTTGTCACCAGAGACTGGAAGATGACATTCTTCTCTGGTGTCATGTCATCATCCTCCAGAGGGATGTCCACACAAATTTCTGGTGTGGAAAGTCCATCCCAATTATCTGCTGCTCCAAAAAACAAACAAACAAACAAAAAAAACAGTGTTAATTAGTGGATTATTTCAACACCCTGACATCATTTATGCCGAACACTTAAGCAATACATCCACCAGGGGCAGTCCTGAGTGTAGAGTTAATTCACAAATTGATGCCTCAGATGATTTTACCAGTACCAGCTGAACTGCCTCCGCTCTAAAGACAGGTGTAAATGCAAAAATAAATGTGTAAAAAGTGCCAACAAAAAGGAGCCTGCCTGACACTCACTCCAGCAGCCTCTTATTAGACAATTAAATCCCATTGTCCTTTGCATTTTTGTAGACACCGTTTGTCCTTGCAATGATTTTCATCTTGTCCCAGAATATAAGTATTAATCAATATGTTTTCATATTCTTTTTGAAAATGTTATCTTTACTGTATGTTTCTTATCAAAATACAGCATTTAAAAAAATAATATGAATGTTTTAAAAAAATTTTTTTCAAAATGTATGTTTTCTGTATGTTTTTTAACCAAATATAGCATTTAAAAAAATTTTTTGAAATTTTTTTAGAAACTTTTGTTTGAAAATGTTATCTTTTCTGTATGTTTCTTATCAAAATATAGCATTTAGAAAAAAAAAATTAAATGTTTAAAAAAATTGTTTTCAAAAACTTTTTTGGAAAACAATTTTTCAGAAATTATGTTTTCTGCATGTTTCTCATAAAATTAGGGCATTTAGAGAAATTTTTAGGAAATTTTTTTGTATAAAATGTTTTCTCAAAATGTGGACGTTTTGTGTCATTTTTGGTCAAAAAATAAAACATTTTGACAAAAATGTTTGAAAAATTATTTTTAAAAATGTATCTTTTCCTGCATGTTTCTCATAAAATTAGGGCATTTAGAGAACATTTTTTGAAATTTTTTTTTATGAAATGCTTTTTCAAAATGTGGACTTTTTGTGTCATTTTTGGTCAAAAAATCAAACATTTTGACAAAAATGTTTGGAAAATTATTTTTAAA